GTTTCTCTTGTATTGTTCCCAAGATCTTTGCCTCAATACATTTCTAGCCTGAAGGTTGACAGACAATTTCCTTCATTCCAGGACTTTTTTTTTTCTCACTCGGACACACACAGCATAAACTGGGAGACCGTAAGAGGATGTGTGTGTCTTTGTGAAAATATAAAAGTATCTTAAAAACCCTTAATAGAAAAAGGATGCAACTAAACTCATTAGCAAATATGTTAAAGATTCTGAATACTTGTTTATCAATATTTACCTTGTTACATTTTTACAAATTAACAATGGACTAATAAAATCTCCTGTCATTGTAGAGAATTAGGCAACAATTATTTTGGGTAATATAAACAAATACAGTAGTCCCTCGTTTATCGTGGGGGAGCCGTACCCTGAAGCCCAGTTTTAAGTGAAAAACTGCGAAGTAGTACAAGTAGTAAGCAGTAGTTTATTTTAGTATTTAGATATATATATTAAGGTGTTTTAAAACTTTCCCACACTCTTGCAATATTCTAAATAATGTTTCTAAACTCTAAACGCTCTAAAAGAGCACAGAATGATTTCAGCTCTCTGCCTCCAGCTGCTCTCTGCTATCTGCCAGCGCTCTCGGCCACGCCCACTTCTCAGCTGCAGAGCGGAGATATGACACGCTTCAGGAGGAAGATTCTCCTGCAAGCTGGGGGCTGCACACAAGTGCTAAATCATTAAAAGTAATTTATTTTCAATAAAAATTCCATGCTGATCGTGCGGCTCATCCATCAATCAGCCAATTGTATATCATGTCCAATCTTACTTTGAAAAACCGTGAAGTAGCGAGTCTGCAAAAAATGAACGGCGAAGTAGTGAGGGACTAGTGTATTAAAATAATACTTCAGTTTCCCCTAGTTTACTTGCCTTGGCAGGGCGCTCATATCTTCCGCAATTTTTGATGACGGGTGTGCGCACTGTGGGGACTCACCGTGAGTGAAGATGGAACGCTACCTCTATAGTCATAGCTTTTTAGCTAGCATGTCTGTATTGTGCATCACTAGCTTAGCGCTACGTAATTGCCGGCACTTGTCGATGGGGGGTTGTTTGGTAGGCGGGGCGCTCAGTTCTGTTGACAGGGCGGGACACCCTGCTTGTATAATGGTAGGGGAAACACTGATACTTTAACATAAAATGTAAAAAAAAGGTCTTAAAACCTTTAGAAGACACTGTGGACAGTCATTTTCTGTGCAGTTGCTAGATTTCCATGGATTTCAGAGCATACAGAAAATAAAACATCTTTGTTACACAAACATTTACCAAAAACCCACAAGAAATACTTTTACTTGAACTTTTAAAATGGCCTGAAAGTAGACAGATACTAAAAAAAAACTTAGTTTGTTTTATATAAAACATTCAAGTTAACAAATATAATTCTTAAAATGGGTATACAGATATATAATCTTGTCATGTTATCGGTCAAGTCGTAGGTAGTGGTAGTTTAAAATGGCTGAATGTCAGAGTGGCTAACTTGTCACTGCAAAACTGGCAAATAGTTTGCATTTATCCGGCATCTATTTATATTAATTATAAAGGTTTACAAAGTGTTTAACTGTGTGCCAAGTACACAGTACTGCCAGTCAGAATGTCCATTATACAAAACTGAAAGATGAAAAAGGGCGACATCATGGTGGCTGTGTCCACCTTTTATAAATGTGAAAAATATTATTATTTGCTTGATTGATGCTTTGACACATTTTTATTTTTTGTAAAATAGAAGCGAATCTGGAAATGCATACTCTGTTTTTGTTTTACCTCATACTTATCCAGATCTGAAAAATACTAAAAGCAATTTCACTCTTTCGGAGGCTGTGTAGGAACCCGGTCAGTGTTGTTGCTGCAGGTCTGAAAGCAACGATGCAGCACAAGCAATATTTTTAGATTAGAACACCCTGCAGTGCTATAGACTACACCTGGAGACAACCTTTCAAGCAGAAGTAAACGGACCTGAAGTCAGTATAGCTGGTTTTTTTAAACGCAAAACCTCTCTGTGGCTGACATCATGTGCACTTTTTTTTCTTGCTCACATGTTAACAAAGTTAAGCCAATTATCTTGTCTCGTTCTGCGTCCAAGGCGATTTAGCAGGATGACAGATAATGAGGTCAGTCAAAAGTGTCATCATTTAGGAGGTGATGTCAAGTGACAAATAACAGGCTTTCTACAAACTTGAAGTACTGAGCAAATTTATGTAACTTCTGTTGTCAGTTCCCCCGCAGTGGGAGAGCTGACAGTGACTGACAACCAGTAAAAGCACTCAATAAAAAAACAACAAATCTTTTTACACATGGCTAACTGACAGAAAACTCATCCCCTGTCCCTAAAGTGACAGTGAGGGTCAATCACATTTATGGATGCAGACGTACTGAACCTGTCAGTGAAAAAACACGTAAAAAGCGCATGCTTAAAAATTACAAAAAGTCATTTTTAAATCCATCCATCCATTTTCTTTACCTGCTTCTTCCAATTTGGGTCACGGGGGTCGCCGGTCCCCATGTCCAGCAATCACTGTGTGAGGGGCGGGGTACACCCTGGACGGGTCGCAAGTCCATCACAGGGCCACATAGAGACAAACGAGACAAACAACCATTCACTCTCTCACTCACACCTAGGGACAATTTAGAGTTACCAATCAGCCTAACATGCATGTTTTTGGACTGTGGGAGGAAACCGGAGCACCCGGAGAAAACCCACACATGCACGGAGAGAACATGCAAACTCCACCCAGAGAGGCCCCTGGACAAGGGTTTGAACCAGGGACCTGCTCGCTGAGAGGCCATTTTGAAATCCATTCCAAAAATTAAAGATGTAGCACTCCTTATAGGAATGCATATTACCCAAAGCCTTTCATGACAGAGTTTAAAACTACGATTACCTACAGTAATTATGAGATCTGTGTGAGATCTCGTGATATTGCAAGATCTCACAGTCAGTGGAATATGTGATAGGGATCACTCTCAACTACTACCATATCAAATTTTAATTCAATAGCTGTGCATTAGTGATAATGATACTGATGAATAACTGTGGTATTTATCCTAAATTGGGTCCAAAAGCTAATGAGTTGCAGAAGTACACCAGCGATTACTTTCTTAAAGAGATATAAAAATCCATCCAGTGGTTTATTAGATATTTTGCAAACAGACAGACAGTGTCGATACCAATAGTTAATGCCAAAGATTTAAGCAAAAATCTCAGGCAATTAGTGAGCCCTCAAAGAATAAGTTAGGAATGACTCTCGGCTACTACTACACAAATTTGATCTCATTATCTGTAAAATATTTTTGAGTTTGAGCTATTTTGGTGTTTCCTACAGTCACTTGGCTGTGGCAGCCATCTTGAACCAGGTTGACTCCAGAAGTTAAAGAGATGTACATCCAGTGGTTACTTTCTGAGAGTTTCATTACAATCTGTCCAGTGGTTCACGAGATATTTCGCTAACAGACAGCAAAACAAGCATTTCAATGAGTAGTGATAAAAATCAGTAAAGCAAACAGATAAATTACCCAGTGTAGAAGATTTGGAACACTTGTCAAAAGTATCCCCAAACGGCACATTGCCCAACTTTTCAAACAAGAGCAGCTTCACATTAGGCCATGAGCCAAACATGCCCCCCCCCCCCCCCCCCCGCTGCATCACCCCCTCGCTCTCTGGACAGAGCCAGAGTGCTAGGGCGCAGATAATAGAGAAGGCCAATAATGGCCAGCAAGAATCAATACAACAGCGCTTTAGTGATGGCTCAGTGGGAGTCGTGTGGAGATGCTAACCTCTGCACCATCTTACACACATTCCACTCACCGAAGGAGTTTTCATTGAGCCGGCTTGCTTATGTGATTCCTCTGATCGATTTGAGAGAAGGAGGCGACAGACAAACATAATGACCCCCCCTCCCACACCCCACCCCGTCGCCTTTAACCTGGGTTATTCATCCAGTTCTTTTTTTAGGGAGGACAGCAGAAACTTGCTAAGGGCAAAACGTAATTTAAAAAAAAACCTATAATGCTACATTACATTGCTACATTAGCTAATAATAAACTTTGACACTTAGCATGACATTGTTCGTTTAGTTTGTTGCAACGTTCTAAACCAAACAAAACCCATGTTGCTATGCAAATATCTTGTGTGTTGACTGATTATAGACGGACCATTACAGGCCATTGGTGCTGAGGCTGCTCTTTTAGAGCGTTTAGAGTTTAGAAACATTGTTTAGAATATTGCAAGAGTGTGGGAAGTGTTTAAAACACCTTAATATATGTATATATAGATAATAAAATAAACTACTATTTACTACTTGTACTACTATTCCTACTTCGCGGTTTTTCACTTATTGCAGGTCTTCAGGATATGGATCCCCCCGCAATAAACGAGGGACTACTGTACGTTTGTATTTTTTACAGTTTGGGAGTGTTTGCAATTAACAGGCATGGCTGTTGCAGAAAAATGGCCAAGAAAAAAAAGTGAAAGGAGAAACATGCATGTAACAAAATAAAAACACTGATGCACTAAACATCGGTGAGAGAAACAGATTAATTAATTGTGATAATTTAAAGTTCCAATCTAAAAACAAGCTTGGTTAAATATGGCTTTAGTAAGACCTTGTATGTGACAGTGTGTGGGGGGGATCAAGTAGCTCAACGTGCAGAATAAGAGAGCTCTAGGCCGAGACACGCTTTGCTCTGCTGCCTGCTCCATTACAGCACTGAAGGAACCCAGCTGGGAATTTGAGTCTTCGAGTTTAGTGAAGAGCAAGACCCACTGCTAATCGATGTCTCTTCTTTACACACTGCTCAACACTTTGATGTAATTATATGTGCTCCAGACTACAAGACCTCAAAAAACACAACCGTCTGTTTTGAACGTTTTGCTTTTTGTAGTTTGGAAGAATGCAAAGCTGCAGGTAGACTAAAGCATTCTTGACATAATTTTAACATACCGGTACTCTCTGTTTTAAATTTAAACGTCAAAAGCGTTGCATACTCACGTTGAATTTGATGATGTCGTAAATTAAATAGCGAGGGACGGGCTGACCATTCACCTTGTCAATGATCATCTCCTGCAGGGAAAGAGACAAAGGACAGCCTTTCATGCTAGAGCAGAAATTTAAAATCAACTTATGTTGATAAATGAGCCACAGGTCAAATCTTGAAAATAATGTTATACATATACAGGTATTTATACATAATCCCATGATATAATTCAAGACATCACACTCAGTTTATGTGTTGGGAATAACTCTCAGCTATTACCAAAAACAAACAGAGCTGACTCCAATAATACTGTATAGTACTGAGTGGAAAGAATGTACAATTATAGACAGAGATCATTTCTGGATTGTGTGTATTTTTATCATCACAGCGTGATAAAGTGAACAAAGTTCAGGAGGATGGGACACCGGAGTCTTAACACTACCCAGAGGATGTGTGTTCAGAGACGGGGGTGCCTGTATAAACTCACTAAAAACAATCAAAAAAAGAACTAGAGAGGTGCACAGTGTGTGTGTAGGTGTGTCTGGGAGGTAGAGTTTGGTGAAGAACAAGGAGCAAAAATAGCACTGCATCAATTATGCAAAAGCTCTCAAGCTGAGGTCAGGAGCAACTGTGCTGCAGGACAGACAGACACACAATTAAGAGAAGTGTTATGTAACTGAGTGATGAAGAGCTATGATGAAATGATAGCACTGTTGTAGGTAAAGTGATGTAAATGACAGCAGGACTACAAGTCAGAATGAAGGTGAGTGAAACACTAAGTTTAGAAAGCTATACTCCATTTTCACCTTGCTAAAAATTCAAACAGACAGAGTGTCTCCTGTTTTAACTAAGAGTAATGCTGAAGTCGCCCATTAAGCCCTTTCTAAATCAACCAAAAACTATGCAGCTATAGGAGGCAGCTTTTGTCTTATTTGTTCAAAAATCCTATTAGATAAACAGTCTTTATCATTTCATTTGTTATTTTTGTCCACAAGGTTATTAAACTTACCTGTGTAAAACAACAAGTTTGTAAGTCAACTAAATATCACATTTAAGTGGTTGGGTTACATTATGAAAGTGGAAGATTAAAGAACAGACAGAAATAATTACACTTGCTGTGATTACGCAATAATTTACCCAGCCAAACTTTTCAACTAAACCTTCAAAAACGCCAAGGCCCTACTGCTGAGTAAGTAATTAAAAAGAACAAATCTGAGTATTTATATACATAACAGAGCATTTAATGCACTCCGTGACAAAAGAAGAACACAGTAATAAACCACCGGAGTACCTCATATGTCTGGTTTTTGGGGCATACCAGAAAATAATGGGAGAAAACGTGCAAAGTAGTAGATATCCTCAGTGTCTTAAAAAGCCTGGCTTTTAAAAAATGTTTCCAGCAAACATTCTGCTGAATCAGGTTATATCTCAAATGAGTTATATTAACATTAAACTTTTGTGTTTGACAATGTGAAGAGGAAACATTAGTGAATCTAATGGAAAGTGACAAAGACAATCACTGCTACAAAAAATAGATAAAATTAAACATTATTTTGTAATTTCTCTGAGACTTGCCAGAATTACATGTGACGTATCGCCTATGGTGTGAATTTTGGCTCAGTTTGATAAAAAATATTAAAATTAAAATAAAAAGAAACGGCTTGGATGAGAACCAGTTTTCTGCTGGCACAGATGCACAATAAATGAAATTACATTCTTCTAGGAGAATTTGTGATTTAAACAAAATGGACAATTACTGCTTATTTTTTTCTATTATGAAAAATCTATATGATTGTATGTGTCTTTGAATATACCATACTTCATATTTTTTATTTTATTGCTATGTGTTGTTTAACTAAAGGTCTAAAAAGGTTTTGGTTTTTTTTAAACCTTTCAGACATTGGGACATTTTTATTGATTCATCAACCAACATTTATTTGTGTTCAACTTTCCAAGACACCAGTTGTCCAGTTTAACACATGCATCCAAGCGACTGCTGGCACAGTTTTATGAAGCAACGTTGGACACAAAATTTCTCGGTTGCATCAGTATGTGGTGATGCATGATTCACTTTACATCTCAGAGGGCATAAAGAGAAAATATCTAAGATAATTTGATAAAATAGCCAAAGCCGAACTGGTAGAGAGGGAGAAAAGGGAGTGAATGGGAGGCAAGAGTAGCTCTGACAGAGGGATGGGGGAGGAGAAGTGATGTAATTCCAGAAGGCTGCCATCACTGTGCATCTGGTGCAATGAACCGTTGAAAAGACTGACAGCAGCAGATGAATATATTAATATGACAAAAAGAAAACCAGTCTACACAGTGGTGTTAATCAAAAATGGAACCAAAGTTGACATAAAGATCATTAAAACCAACAACTAAACAACATGTGCAAACAAAGACTGTTGTCTTTGGCCAACAAGTGAAACAAGCTGTTTTTTTTCCAAGGCTTATCGTCTCCCTCTTTAAACCGAGAGCCAGAAGCATCAATGGATGAATAAATACGAGTCAAAACTGACGTTGTGGCAAACCAAACAAACACCCGTGCTCTGGCTTTAAATGAATGGCAACACACTGCAACTAAATGCCCCGCCTGAGCATGAAAACAGCTCAGCCAAGAGAGAACGAGCACCTTGTTTTACATAAAATGACTCAACTTCCAGAACAGAACAAAAAATGGTTAAACAAAATGAACAGACAACTTGTCTCTTATCTTCAGCACAGGAAAACTGAACAAAAACACAGGCAGCAATCAAACATCTGGCTACATGAAATCAAGCAGCCTCAGCTTCCTTTTCTGTGTTTTACCAGAGCAGTAGTGTGGAATGACCCATACTGGTGCACCTGCTGCGAAGGGAAGCAGGGACCAGTGCGACCTACACAGCACAACCTTCTATTAAAGTACAAGTGTGTCACTGAGTGTGTCACTGAGTGCCTCAAAGCCATACAGCAAAACATACACAAAAATTATGTAACATTTAATTAGATATTTCTACAGTGCGTGTGTGGTCATGTTCCTGTCAGCCGTTTTGGTAGAAGCTGTCTCCAGAGTGAAACATGCTCGCATTTCACCCAAGGTTTGCCAACTGGTGTCAATTTTCTGCTAGACTGAGTAGCAGGGACAGTAAGAAAATGGAGGGGAAATGCAATCTCAGTCACAACAGAATCCGTACAACTTAAAGTTTATCATGGAATATGTAGGCCTGTCATGATAAAAAAATTTGCTAGGCGATTAATTGTCTCACAAATTATTGCGATGCACGATAATATTGTTTGAAATTTGACAATAATTAGTCATTATTGTCAAATTTAAGAAGAAATGTTTCTTAATTAGTTTTGTGCGTAGTACCTTTTATCGAACACCAGATAGCAGTATAAGATTGTTTGAACTGAAGGATGGATAGTAAGGGAGCGAGCAGCGTGTCTCTTTAAGAAAAATGGTAGGGAGGTCCCTTGATGTGACATGGGCTGTCCCTCTTTGGTTCTCGAAATGGTGGACACGGTGTGGTTTGAACTCTTTAGCATAACATTTTTCACACAGAGCTATTAATAAAAAATCAGTAAACAAGTTCTCGGCTTCTTTTTGCAGAGAAAATCTTTTTACACAAAGGCACGGGTTTCAACTGTGAATCTTGGAGCTTCGACAAGACGAAGGTTTTGTCCCGAGGTCGGCCTGTTAGCTTAGCTTGTAGCTTAGCTTCTCAAGTCAGCTACTTTTAACGATCCAAAAACGTGATTTTGGATGGTTAAAATGGATCTTAAAGAGAAAGAGAGGGGTCAGTGAAGAGCACCGGAGTTGAGCTTTTTGTCATCCAGTGTCTTCAGAAAGAGAGCGATGAAGAAACGATAAAGCCGATAAATGAAAATGATGTGAATAATTTTCATTTATCATGCGATTATTTGATTTATTGTTTATCGCGACAGGCCTAGGGATATTCAACTTTTTAACATTTAGAAATACAAGTATATGAATGAAAGAGTAGTGACTCACCCCATCAAGTAGCGTATTCGATAAATGAACACGTGGATCCTTCCGGAAAGGAAACTCTAAGTTGTCTATGTGGAAGACACTGTTGTCCCTGTCAATCATGTACACTTCTTTTTTCCCATTGATCAGCGTCATGTACCTGTGAAGAATGAAGTTACACTGTAATGCAGTTGTAAAAATAGTAAAAAAAAAAAAAAAATTATTTATTTATTTTTAGGATATTTTTTTTTGGGGGGGGGGGGGGGTCTGAGTTTGGGTTCTGTTTATTGCATTTATGATTCAATGCAATAAAATAAACAAACTTAAAAGGTAACAGATCATTGTAAAACTTGGTTTATTTATATAATAACTTTAATCGCTGGATGTCTGGCCCACTGAGCTGTTGGATCTCAGAAACTGTGGCCCACTGAGCAGTTTTGTTGAATAGCCCTGCTCTATAAAATGAATTCAGTCAGTCACAGTAAAAAAAAAAAAAAAAAAGTAAAACACTATATTCTGGGGCACAAATGTGTTCAAAACCAAACCTGATTACCCCCACCCCCACATTCAGGCCCTTGGAGAATATTTTGCTTTGTAAGGTGCAGCAAAGTGTAAGATGCCCCATTTTTAAGGGTTGAAGGAAGAGTATTTATCTTCAGTAGCTCTCTAATTGCCCTTGAAATAGATAGTTTGCAGATGGGGGAAGGTTAATTAACTATTACAACCAATGTGACACTTGGAATATTAACTTTACCATCACTCTGCTGTAATGTAATGTCTCCAGACAAGCAATAAGTATATATTTTGGGAACTTGATATCATAATTTACTAATGAAGTTCCATTAGAGAAACTACACATGAGATTTGGGCTACTGTTTGCACAAAAATACAACAAAGACTTAGTGTGCCTCTAATGTGCAAATGAATGGTGTTTGATGGAAATAGAAGGCAATGTAAAGGCGTAAAAGCTTTTATCATGTCAGAAAAAGAAAATGGGTTCCAACATGTACCTTCTAATTACAACATACCACCAAAGCATCCACTTTGGCTTTTATCTGGTTGTGATGTGTGGAAATAAAAAACTGTATGTCCCGGTGAAACTGTAAAATGAACACTAGGCACTAACTTTTTATTATGCCACTTTTATCAAGCTAATTATGTAATGTCTTGTGAGGAAAACATTTCAGACTTGCAAATAATTCATCTTTCTTTGAAAGTCTTGTATTTCCACTCTAACACAGACACTTCCATTTTATAGCTTTTCGGAGCTTACTCTATCTTCCACTTGCCTGCATCCCCTAACTAATCCATGGCAGGCATTCACAGGTGAGATAAAACTTAATTGTACAAAGTTAAATAGCATCCAAAGTCTCAAATCCACAAATTACACTTTTGCCAGAAGTCATTTTTACTTAACTCAGACTTTATGTACTACAACATGTAATATTAGAATTTCTCTTCAAAAATCTACTATAGCAAAACAGCTAGAACTTTTAGAACAGTTTATACAGTATAAACAGTTTATTACACTATAAGGGATTTACTCGTATTTTATCCATAATATTCTGTGTTCGTTTCACCTTTCTGAAATAAGTTAAATTAAAATTAAGGAAAACCAACCAAGACAGACAAGACTATTGCTGGAAAATTACTTTTTCATCCTTGAGTCAACTCGCCTGAAAGGTTCAGACATATAAAATCAGTGACTGTTAGACTGTTAAATGTGCTGCCAAAATAAACCATCTTACCAGCATAGGTCATGATATGAGCATTTGACTGGTGATAATTTGACTTTGCTGTTTCTTGGTGGTAGTCCCGCAGGTGTGCCAAGCTGCCAGTGCATATCAAGACCCTTTTACACTTTATTACTTTGAGTTACCGTATATTATATTGCTGTGGAAGTAAACGAATGTTCTTATACCATATGAATTGATCAGTTAAATTAGAATCATAAATGGACAAAAATGATCAAAATCATTAACAGTTTCAAGCAATTATTCTTCAAATGTTTAAATGTAAAAGCAGAAGTGAGCTTTGAATCTTTAATAACTTGCTATAGTCTCATTTGATTTGCTGTGAAGCTCCATTTTTCACATCTCTGAAATTAAGCCAATTATTCATAAGCTTGTGAGCACATCTGGAAACGATCACTCTCATTAAATTATACACACTAGGACTTGCAGTACAACTACAAAACGGTTACCGGTAGTTACTTATATATGAGCCCTACAATACAGAAAGTCATAATTAGAATAAATAAAAAGGTTTAATATACAAGATAAAAGCGCCTTAGATACTGATCTTGCTAGTTATAAAAGTAATTTTTGTTATATCACTTATACTTAGCTCTCCATACAAATACGATTTTATTAAAAAGCTAGAAGCAGATTTTAATTTGTTGATTAGGTAAAATACATTTAATACATAAATTTACATTATTTTGGATTATTAGGTTAAGGGTTACAAATTGAACCTTTTTTTAATTTGTTGGTGTAAATATGAGATGAATCATGTGCCTGAATTTGCATACTTGGGTAAATTTTGCACACTGCTTTTAAACAGGGCTGAGTTAAATAATACATTATTCAGACCTCAATAATAAAAAAAATTGTTGGCATAAATATTGATTTTAAAAATAATGAAAGCAACAAAACTATAAGATAAATTTTATCTTTAAGAAAGTGGTTATTGAGTCTCTATGCAAGAACATCTACAAAGGTTATTAGAGCTAAAGAACCTAAAGGGAGAATGGTATGTACCTGCAATATTAGCACAGAATAAAGTGTCAAATTAGAGATTTATATCAGGACAAAATGTAAACTAGATCTGGATGGCATACCGACTCACAGTTTTCAAATGGTGTGCAACTTTCAAGAAAGCAACGTCAGAGTTCCCCATAGGCAGAGCGGCACATTTCTCAAACCTGCTGTGACTCTTCACATTTGTAACAAAGGGATTAGGTGTAATAAATATACCACCAATCCCAGCTGGTGTAGAATGGGAAAACTTGAAAAGATGCCAGACTGTGAGACAGATTTATTACCAACAGTGAAGTGTTGAAGAAAGGTGGTGGTGGTGTGTGTGTGTGTGTGTTGGGGGGGGGGGGGGGGGACTTTTATTTATATAAAGACTTGTCTTTGTAGATCTAGTTTTAAGTTTCCATAAACTGCTAGGAAAGAGTTGTGATAAGTTGAAGATAAGTTTTATATCTTATCTTATGATAACAGTCTAAATTAACAGTGCAAACATTTTCCAATATATACATTTTCTTAAAATAGGAAGATAAATTAAACTGGTTCGACTAAAACAAGAAAATACTTAGTTCCCTAATCAAGATGAAAATGTCACTTTTGTATTCCTGCCAATCTACTAGTTATTTTTGCTATATACAGACATGTGATAATGTCACAAAATATGTTTTGGCATACGTATTTATTTTTTTAAATACCTTTAAAAAAACATTTCATCAGAGTCAGCCAAGAAAAAATAGCCTCTGAAAAGCATGGGCATCAGTGTGGTGATACGATACTTTAAGTATTTCTTTATATATATAAAAATAGAAGAAAAATACATCACTCTCACTTTTATTACAACCACTAAAAACTCGGCTGCAAAGTGTTGCTTTGTTGATAATGATAGAGAGGCTGGAGACACTCAGATAGATTCTGAAGTGACACAGTCAGCTCGGATTAGAGCTGTCATTTCTAACTCGAACCCGGAGCCTGGCCCGGCCCGACCCGGATTAGGGCCGGGCCATAATAATGTGCTTAATGTGTGGGCCAGGTCGGTGTCAGGATTTTGATTGCGTCAGCAGACGTGCACAGCTGATGATCCAATGATATGGTAACATGGCTTGCCATACAATCACCAGCCGCAAGTGGCCATTTGACTGGGCTTGAAAGAGGTAAAAAGTTCAGTTAAGCTTCAGATGGACTACTGCCAGCGATCTATCAGCCCAAATGGACGTTCATTCAACCGTTGCACTCTGCGGATGCGCGTGGCCAACGACCCAACAAGTGAGATCACAAAATATCAGACATGTCAGAGCACGGTCCGTGTCTGAATAATGCAGAATGCAGGCAGAAGCAGGGATTTAATGTGCTTTGACGGCCATGAAAGGACAAACACCTCCTCAGCTCCCGTCCATCGTTTACCCCCTTTACTTAGCCGCATGCGTCTGCCTACCATTAATAACTATATAAGCAGTCAAAACTTAATATATAATGTTGGGGTGGGGGTTTCAGGTTCGGACCTGTAATTACTGTTTATGCATCGGGTCGGGTGGAGTTTGGAAATTATGGCTATGGGCTGGGGCCGGGTTGTATGTTTTGGGCCAGAATGCAACTCTTGCTCGGACTGAAAGAAATGGAGTAAAAACAATCGGACAGTGCTACATAATAGCCAGTGACCATCCTGTGGTCAAAATGTGGTCCATTGTTATAAACAAACAGAATCCTTCTCCAATGTGGATGTGAATAAATTCCCTCAAATTAAAAGCTGACTGTTTGAAACTACATTCAGTGTGTAACAGTAAATCTGGATTTTTAATCTATGTTCACATACTTCAGTCCCTACTTTAAATACCCTGTAATGTTGCATAGTTATACCATAACTATTAAATAAACAAACTGTGAATTATCTATCCATCCATCCATCCATCCATCCATCCATCCATCCATCCATCCATCCATCCATCCATCCATCCATCCATCCATCCATCCATCCATCCATCCACCCATCCA